TAGAAATAGGGTCACATAATACAGATGCAAAAATAAATAAATAGATCATTTTGGCAAAACCCAAAGTAAATTCAATTCTGACATTAAAAGCAAAACTCAACAAAACAACTTTCAGTGAACTAGAATAGAAAGAAACATCCTTTACCTGATAAAGAACATCTATGAAAACCCTCTGCTAACATAATATTTAATAGTAGAAGTCTTCCTGGTTCCTCCTGACCTCAGGGAAAGTCAAAAGTACCTAATCTCACCACTAATTCTTCACGTTGTAGCCAAGGACCTGGCCAGTACTCAAGGCAAGAAAAAGGGGGAAAAAAGGCATTTTTAATTAGAAAAGCAGATTACAAGACATGAGAAGTAAAAGAAATGAATCTTAGGACTTGTGGACAAACAGCAAAATATCTACCATGGGAGTAGTTATAGTACCAAGAAGAGAGAAAAGAAAAAGTGGGGCAGAAAAAACATTCGAAACACTAAAAATCAAAATCTTCCAAATTTTGGAAGAGACATATACTTAAGCATTAACAACTCCAACCAATTCCAAACTGGAAATGTAAAATGAAAAGCACACCTAGGTATATTATTCTCAAACTGCTGAAAATGAAAGGATTTAAAATGAGATTTTAAAAGTAGCCAGAAACACATGATATGCAGGTGAAACAATGGTAAATAATCATTGGGTTCTTAGTTGGCACATTAAAGATCAGAAGATTGTGGAATAACATCTTTAAATAGCTGAAAGAGAAGAGAACAAGAGTCAATCCAGAATTCTATACCCAGCCAAGATATCCTTCAAACATAAGGGTGAAATTTATTTTCAAATGTTGAAGTTGAGGGGATGAGTTGGCTGTGGATCAGCACACACAGAGTGAAAAAGGAAGTTTTTCAGACCAACGCAAAATAATAACTCAGGTTTACTGGAAGGCATGAAGACCCCTGGAAATGGCAAACATGAGGTCAAATCTAGGCAGTCTAGTTTTTCTCCTCGTTAAAGAAGGGATGTTCACTTACCATACTCAGATTCTGCTTATATTTCCAGGAGGTCTTTCGGCCTCTCTGCACGGCCCTGGAGATGTACATGTTTGTGAGTAAGTCCCCATGGAACAAAATGCAAGCCACCTTGCTCACAGCACAATATGTAATACAGCCTGAGCATCTTTATTCAGTCACATTTGTGTGTGTCTCTGTGTGTGTGTGTGTGTGTGTGTGTGTGTCTTTGGCAACACGATTCAAGACTTTTTATGGACCTCAAAAGAAAAGATTTATCATAGCCCCAGTGTGTATGTCCAGCATCTAACCATCTGTAATGCTGGCTCTCTGAGAAGCACCGTGGTTAATGTCCACCCCTTCACACTAAAAAGCCTGTTTCCCAGTCACTTGTCCAGTTGGTTGGACAGGACGGGCTTCCAGGCATTCAGGAGAGCAGGTTGGCAGCAGCTCTGCCGCCCTCAGCCGGAAGCTCCTAAGACCACCCCGTGTCTTCACCAGCAGCCTCACGGTAACGTGTGATCATTCCTTGGAAGTTGCTATGGGGCCACAGTTTTGTTTGAAAAGAAGAAGAAGGAGCAGGAGAAACGAAAGCCTCAGGAAGGCTTGTCATCAGCCGTGGAGGAGGTCAGCCTCCGAGAGCTACAGCAGGCCAGAATTTCAATCATCAGCCATCTTCCATACCACTCACGCCTCCTCGACCCAATTATCCTGCATAATTGGCAGTGCTCATGCACATGAGGCAAGCAGCTTTCTGATCCTGAGGACAGAATAGTTGAGAAGAAAGGGAATAATGTGAACCAAGCTCCAGGAAATGCAGGACAACTGGACCAGGTCTCAGACAAGAGGGCAAATAATAAAAGTTCTAAAAAAGAAAATAAAGCATAAATATATTAAATAATAGTGAGGTTCCAGAGAAAGAAGACTCTCATCGGGGTAAAGATCAGTTAGGTCTTTGAAACTTAAGACTCAGTAGACTGTTTTTTGAAATGTAAAATAGTTGGTCCACACCAGCTCTGTTCAGGCTTCAAACTCTCTTTTTAACTCTCTGTCTCTTTAGGCACTGCCCTTCTGGTAGCCTCTAAAGTCTTCAGGGAAAATCAAGGCCTTAGAGGACTTTGTTCAAAAGCCACTAACTGAAAGGTAGCCTGAGGTCACCCCTAAAAAACAGACTTTTATGAGAATTGCAACTGCCGCCACCACCAGCACCGGCCTTTGGTTTTTACTAGAATCCTTCTCTATGTACGGCCCAGTTCTAGAAGGACTGGCTGTCTGAAATCACCCCTGACCCTGGCCAAACCCCAGGAAGAACTCATCCTCTAAGCCCATTGCACCTGTTGGGCTCACCAGCGTTACAATGTTGTGTTTCCGTGGGTGGGCTAAAGGAGTTTTAGCTCCCCTCCCGAGATCATTTTCTCAGTGACAAACAGTGCCCAGCCTGTAGTGCTGTTCAGACAGGGAACTGAAGTGTCCAGAGCTATAACTCAATTCATTTCAACTGACCTCAGTTGCACTGAGCAGAGTGGAGCTGACTGCATGGAAGAGAATTTAAAGAAAAGGGAAATAGAAGTGACTGACCCAGGAGAGGGCGTAAGCTGAGGGCCAGCCGAAGCACATGGACATGCAGGCAGGTGAGTGTCTGGTTAGTCCAGTGACATAGCACTGGCGATGAGGAGGCAAAACCGGAAAGAAGTCCACATGTCACAACTTCCAACTGGCCTGGTTCTGCATCAGCAGTTTGAAAACTGGATACACTTGATGCATTTTGACACAGTTGAAAACCTCATAATAAGAACTAACATTGATTGAGGTCACTGAAAATTATGGGTCTCCGAGTGCAGTTAGATTGCTGTCTTAATACTTGGTAAAATGAGAGACTGAAGAGTGATTTGTCTCCTGGAAAAGACCATGTTATGAACGCAGGAATCTGCTAAGGGGGGGAACACTCAAAACTATGCAGCATGTCCATATGGGCAGAAGAATCGGAAGTGCAGAAGGGTTCTTGTGTGCTCATTAGGCCAGGCGGTCTTGCTAGATAATGTTCATATATAATCCTATTATTTCTCCCAACCCACTGGGAATTTTATGGATGAAGAAAATGAGATTGAAAGTTAGAAAATTTGAATCTTGAATTATGCATCTGGCAATTTAAACACAGAGGTGCTCAATTTCAAACCAGGAATCGAACTTCAGCCTTTGGCCTCGCTGTCTTGTTCCCCTACAAGGACGGCACTTGCTTCACCCGGTTACAGACACCAGGATCTTCCCTTCAGTTTTTTTTTTTTTTTCAGACATACAACTCTTTCTAGTTCTTTTGAAGTTGTTTATTAGTTTGTTTGCATGTCACTTGGATACAGAGAATACCAATGTAATGGATTAATTATTAATAACATCCACAAGACTTCTGGTGACGGTAGGTAACAGCAGGTGGGTATTAGACAACTTCCCCAAACCTCCTTTCTCCCCAATAATATAACCTTCACAGTGTGAAAAGATAAAGCAAAGCTACACTCTCACAGTGACTGAGACTGGGAGACCAAGCTAAGGTAAGGAAGAGTGATCAAGAATTCAGCAAATGTAAAGCTGTCCACTAAAAATCCACTATGGCCAAAAATAAAAATTTAAATGCAGACAGGATCTGACCCTTTTTTTGTAAAATCTTGTCTCTGTCCCAGTCATTGTAATCCTGGCCTCAATCGGAACCAAGTTTTATTACAGGAGACTGACCTATAGCCATAGTTTTCTCATTTGAGTTTTTAATAAAATTCAATCCTTATTAGTAAGATTTTGTGCTCCATTTTTTTAAAAAAAATATTTCTTATGGTAGATGGACACAATACCTTTATTTTGTCTGATGCTGAGGATGGAACCCAGTGACTCACACATTCTAGGCAAGCACTCTACCACTGAGCTACAGCCCCAATCTCCATTCTCCATTAATTTTTATACCATGAGTATCTGTCGTACATACTTTGTTCCAGTTTGGCTGACAGAAAGCCTTAATTTACCACTTTGAATATGAGACAGGTGGAATTCACAGAAAATGCAAAGACCAGAAACTACTAAGGAGACACCCTATAGGATCTCACAGAGAAAGCTCTGCTGAATCAATTCCTCAAGGAGTAGATAGTTCAAAGTATTGAAAATGAAAGAATACTTTTTTTGAAGGAAGAATGCACTGATGCTTAAACCTAAAATATTGGCCAGTGTTTCCTGGGCATGGCAGGACCCAACCCAGATGGGAGATTGTTTATGGATATGAGTTTTCCTGCTAATCTTTCTTTCCTCATGTAAAACTCACCAGGAGGTGAGTCTCTCCTCCTCCTTCAACTCCTCCCCCTCCTCCTCTTTCTTCTCTTTCTCCTCCTTCTCTCCATCTCCTGTTTTTGCTTCACAGGGAAATACCTTCCATAGGAGAATGTCTTTATCACCTTGCAGTATCAGAATACTTTCATAGGCCTCATTATTAGGAAGAATCAAAAAATAATTATTTGATTAAAATCAAGCCTGGAAGTAATTTGTTTCCATTTGACAAATGCAGGCTCTTTCTCCTCTGGGCCAGGTCTGGAGAAGACTGAGTGGGAAAACCCAATCAACAGCCATTCACTTCCGCTAAGCAGAGTGGGGGTAGGGTGCATAGGAATTGAGAGGTTGGGAAGCTGGGGCAAGTTTTTAGAAACTAAATAAACTCAAATGCTAAAATTTCTTTTCAGAAACTGCTTTTGTTTTTGTCACAAACTGAACAACTGGCAAAAATTATCATAGATTACTTTTCTTTGGAGAAGAAGGATCTGAAAAAAATGTACAGTCTCTGCAATAATATCAGTAACCATTTGTTAAGACTAATGTATAAAATTTAGGACAAGGTCCTATCTTCTGTGTGGGGGTGTGCTTGTGTTTTGGGGTAAATAGGGCAGACACCAAGGCCAACGGTCTGTCTATTCATACCCCTAGTAAAATTTTCCACCAGACCTGTGCAGGTCATTCCTCACTCCACCTTGCTCTATCCACAGATACCAGAACAATGCAGTGGTCATCTAAGAAGAAAGAGGGGAAAAGTGCTTTCTTGTCCTGAAGTAAGAAAAAGAATCCCTTGCGGAATGTGATATTAATAAGGACTAATCCATCATATCATAATTACAGGGCGCGGCAGGCAAGCAGGCGAGATAAAGGGGTGACTGGAGAATGACTCAAGCTGTCCAGGGTAGGGAAAAAGCACGGTACAGACAATGGCCCAACTCAGTTGTGAGTCCCTGAGCAAATCACCTCTCAAATTGTTCTCCCCAAAAGTTAGGACATTGAAGTACATTGCTAACTTCTTTTGTACCCTGAGTTGATGCCATTTCAGTAAGTGTGATACATTTACTGATGTATCCAATGCTTTCTAAAAAGATCCTCTTCTAAGACTCAGTTCCCATATTTTCTTCCTCTAATCATTCAACTGTAATGAGAAATGCTGTTTCTAAATACATGTCTGCAGGGTAGATATATCCAGCACATTTACCTAAGTACTCTGAAGAGTACACATTACATATTTAGTGCTATGTTCTCAGAGATCAGAAATCTCAGCTCCTGTGAGTTTTACATGAGGAAAAAAAGATTAGCAGGAAAACTCATATCCATAAATAATCTCTCATCTGGGTTGGGTCCTGCCATGCCCAACAAGCCATCAGAAGTGACTTTATTTTGCAGATACCTTCTCAGTCCCCATTTTAACTGTGTGCTTAACAAGTACCTTGGCTTGAGAATACCCCTGCTAAGTGGGCCTCATTCTTCCTCCTGTGTGTGGGTGTGTTGGTGTTTTGGGGAAAATGGCCCACTCCACGCCTGCTGGCCCACCGTGCCCCGGGGTTCAACCCTGGCCCACACCCGCCCTTCACTGACTGCTCAAGATTCAAACCTGGGATTTGGTTCAATGCGGGCGTAAGGCCTGGGAGAAGGGGCGGGCACGGCAGGGAGCTCCACAGGGGAAGCAGCAGGTCAGCAGAGCAGAACTAGGAGCAGGACAAGTCCAGCTGGGACATCTGCTGGCCCCTGTGGCACAGCCTCAGCCGGCAGGTAGCAGCTCAGGACTGGCAGCTCTGGAGGGCTGAGGTCAGGGCCGTCACCAGTGTGTGACTCCTGGCCTAGAGCTGATCCAGGACAGGGGAAATGGGCTGAGTACCTGAGCGTTGGCAGGGCAGGAGGCCAGCAGCTGGGCTCTGTGTCCCTGATGTAAACCGCTCTGACCAGGATGGGCCTGGCCTGCAGTGAACAGATCCACAGAGATGAACACTGAACCAGGAGAACAGAGTGCTGTCTCCTGCCTGCTTTGACTTTTCATATTGTTCTTAACAAACACCTACGATCCTCTTTTCAGTCTAGACCTCATTGGGCTCTGCAAGCTTCGTGTGTGTGTGTGTGTGTGTGTGTGTGTGTGTGTGTGTGTGTGTGTGTGTGTGGAGGGGCTGCCGAGCAACGTCTCGGAGGGCAGGCAGATGCCACAAGGCAGATGCATTCAAAGCTGCAGTTGTCACCTGGGCCCTGAAACCTGAGCTCTGCCTGGTCCCCTCCTTTGGCTGTGGCTTCATTCACACCATGACTCCCAAAGACCGCTGCTCCTTCAGGTGTCCCTGCACGATCAGCCACCCTCTGTCCCTCCATCCTTATCACTTAGATATCCTGGAACCCTCACACAGCTTCTGGTTCATGATCCCTTATTTTCCCGTCCAAGGTTTGTCGTAAGACCCTGTGACAGGCGCCTTTCCTCCAGGCCTCTCAGGAGGTGGACGCAGCCGTTACCACCTGAGCGTCCCCTCACTATCTCCAGGGCCAAGTCCAGCTGCTGGCAGGGCACCCGCGGCCTCCAATGTGAGGTGCGCAGCTCTGGTCCCCATCTCACTGGGGACTCCCCGCCCACTGTGTGCTCTGCGGTGAGATATTGGATTCCTTTTATAAAAGCACATCTCACTGCCGTTGTCCTCTCCATCCTCCTTTGGCATGTCCACTGCCCCAGCCCGTCAAGTGGGCCTTACTTCCTATTTAAGCATCCTCGGCACAGCGGGGACACGGCTTTCCCTGGGAACCTCGCCTGGCCACTGGCTCCCCTGCGAGTCGGGCTTGAGCTTCCTGTCTGCCCTGACTTCTCCTAGCAGATACTACGCACAGGTGCGTTTCCTTTTTCTCTCCCCACCCTGGTCTGAAGTTTCTGGGGGGCAGGTCTCTGTGACACCCTTGTCCCTCTGACTCCTCTCCCTGGCGGGATCCCCAACAGGTGGTCAAGAAGCATTCCCTGCACTCAGTGGAACTGAATTTGAATATTCCAGAACATTCCGTTGACTGGGGGTAACAAGGAGAGGGAGCAGCAGTTCTGCTCCGTGATAGAAGCACGTTTTCCTGAGAAGACGATGGTTGGACGCCAAGCGCGGGCCTTTTTCTGCCCAGTGTGTCCTGGGTTCTTCTTTCCTTTTTGTGGCCGTGGTGTGACTGAGCACAGTTTCTCCACAGGCAGCAGAGAGTGGTTACTGAGGGGCAGGACCTACAGCCTGGGCCCCAGGAGGTGCTCTAAGGAGAACCGAGGGACAGATGTTACACCCTCTGAAACCGTCTCAGCATGCAACTTCCAGCATCCATGAATCCCTTTCAGAAAAGGAAGGATGTGTTTTCCCTAGAAAGAACAACCATGTTTGGAATGTGTGAATACATCTCACAATAAAGTGCTTATTTACTAAACACTCTAATCCTGTATTGAAACCACAAGCCTCATTTTCCGGGTGCTCACCTTTTGGAGTGAAGCTACACATTCTTTCTCCAGCTACATCACTAGGTTCCCAAGTCAAACACTCTTGCCAGCAATAAATCCCTTGATGCAGGACTCAGAATCTCACCTTTCTCACTCTCTTAGGGAATTCCTCATCCTCTCAAGTTGCATATGTCTCAAAAGATTCACTTTGCAAAACAATGTGCTTTTAAAAATGTTTGTAAGCCAAAGCCAAGACAGATGTGTTCACAGACAATAGTAAAATAGGGCTGAATAGCCTTCTTAGGCAGGGATTCTTATTTTACAGAGAACATGGTGCTAAATTATATTTTCTGGAATCTTAACTACACTTATTAGAAAAATAAGTCAAAGTCCAGTATATGTGAAATGCTGAAAAAGGGAATGGAAAAAATGTTTCTCATTCTCATTTAAAGATATTTTTGTATTATACCAGTTTTATTTTTGGATAAGTAGTTTTATGCTATTAAAAACCTATTTTTGAAATATATCCATTTTTACTAAAATTCAAATGAACCATTAAGATTATTTTTAAAATTCGTAACAAACTTCTTAAGAGTAGTAAAATTAAATGTTCAATGGTATAACTTGCAAAGATCATCCTTCTGAAAAATTAGGGGAAAAATTCTTAGATATTTATATAAACATCCAGATCAACAAATAGTTTCACATTATTCAATTCTATAAATTATTAGGTTAAAAATAGGTCAATATGGTTGAGAACTTTGAAAATATATATTGTGTATCAGACTTTCTGTTCCTTTTGTCTTTTATTTCACAGGTGAACCAACTGAAGAATCTTTGACACAATCATTAGAGTCACATAGTAAACATACTCAGGAAGCATTTTGATGCAATATAAGAGACATACAAATGAGCATTATAAAATATTCTTAAAAAATGTTTAATTTGAATCTCATAACCTGAACAATTCAGAACTTTTGTGATTTTTAGTAGCAATATGAATAATAGTTTTAAAATACTTATACTCATTGATCAACAAATGTGACCTCTATAATAGAATAATTTGTAGGGATACAGATTTAAATATTATGATAATCATAATTATTGTTAATAATAAGATTTAAAACTTGAATGTAAAACCATAGAGGAATTAATATTTATCCTGCATTGATGGAAAAGCATGAAGCTATTCTGAAAAATATATTTGCAATGAATATTTAATAAGTTGAATAAGACAGGAAAATAAACTTGATAGGATAATGTGTGAATAAACCAGCATAGAAAAGTATATTTATATCATAAATCTAACTCAGTGTATATGCAAGAAGAAAAGTGTTATGGAAAATGGAACAAAGTATAAATGGTTGTATTTTAGTGATGGAATTTTTTTTCCTTTGTTACTGTTTGGAATTTTTAAAATGTCATTTTATAAATGTAAATTTGCAAGCACGATTATATATAAAGAGAATATTTTAAAACTACATTAGCATACTTATTATAAATTAAAAATACATATATAGAGAGATAGATAGATCAAATTAGTAATATTCCCAAGAATTAATAATCTGTTTCTAATATAGATTAATAGTATATTTGATGATGTGATGGAAATAAACACCCGTAAAAGTTATGTTTTTGATTTTGACTTAACTTCCTACCAATTATTAACATCATGTAGTGCCACATCTCTAAGTCTTAAAGCTATAATATAGCACAACTAGATTCATAAACATGAGTACAATGACTGATAAATTGAAATAATACTACAAGCATATACTAATGATAAATAAGAAAGAATAATTCTCAGACGCAATCTGCAGGCTATTGACCATGACCCATCCATTGGGGTGGTTACTATGGGGGAAAAGAAAGGAAGACAGGCAGTCCATGGGGAGGGAAGCGGGGAGGGAAGGGAAGGAATGGGGGAGGGGGAGGGAGTGGGAGGGAGGAGGAGGGAAGGAGGAGAAAAGGAAGGGGGAGGAAAGGAATGAAGGGGGAAGGAAAGAAGGGAGGGAGGGAGGAGGAGGGAAAAAAGGAAAGAGAAGGAGGAAGATAAACTATTCATTGTGGGTGAATATTTGGAGAAACTGGAGATTCGTGGGCACTATTAGTGGGAATATGAAATGGTTTAGCTGAAGACAGTACATGACGCCAGTAAAAAGCTGGAAAACAGAATCACCACATCATCCAACCGTTTCACTTCTGGCTATGTACTCAAAAGAGCTGGAAGCAGGATCCTGATACTCAACATTCATGCCCGAGTGCACATGGCAGCTTTATCCTCCGTCCAAGATGGAGAAACTATATAAAGAGATGGGTAAGTTGTGAGATGTGCCTACAATTACTAATATTAACCATTAATAGGAAAGAACTTCTGCCTTATGCCAAATGGTGAGGAACGTTAAGGACACTACGCTAAGTGAAATAAGCCAGCAGGAAAGGGAACCCTGACACCTGGGATTCCCTGGGGAACCCAACTCACACAGATGGGATGTGGTCCCAGGGCAGGTGGAGGGCAGTGGGAAGTGCTTAAAGGTACTGGGTCTCTATTTTGCCACATGAAAAGAGTTCTGTGGAGAGATGGTGGTGATGGTCTACTACAGTGAGAACATATTTAGTGCCACTGAAATGCAACCTTAACGATTATTAAGATGGTAAATGTTAGGTGTATTCTACCCCAATTTAAAAATTTAAAAAAAATATATTAGCTACAAATGCAAACAAAAATGAAAGATTCTGAATATATACAATAACCAAATGTAGAATTAATATCTATTTACATTATTTAAATAGGCTTATTTTCCTGACACGTTAAAACCCTAGTTAGCAAAGAAGTTCATTTTATACTAAGAAGACGAAGCACAATGTAGGTTCCACTGAATCCTGGAGCAAACAATTGAGTGTTGATGACAGGAACTAATGGTGTACCTGAGGACAGCAGTCTCTGAGATGACTGAATGTCATCCGAGAGAGGAGAAATTCAGATGTCTGTCTCACATCTCTTTTACAATGGCATTTAAGAGTTCAGAAGCAACTACGTGGAAATTTTCCTTTTATATTTAAAAGAAGTTTAGAAAATCTAAGATTAAAGAAAAGTGTTAAAGAACTTCAGTTTCTTGAGTGAAGTGTTGTATGTAGGTGTTTGGGGTTTTTTGTTTGTTTATTTGTTTTTTCCCTAGCATAATATAGTGGAAAGGGTATGTATGAACTTTTCCAGAAAACAGATATATCTTTAAAAAAAAGGCATGTGGCTTGTTTTCTCTGAGTCTCAAATTTTTCTGCTTGTAAAATGGGGGTAATAAAACAGAATTACTAGAGTTACTAAGCATTAACAGCACATTTCAATCATGTGATTCTTGGCAAATTAAAGATAGCTAATTTTTCAAATATTCCTAAATTTATCAAAAAACTAAAAATTGGATATCTGGAATCATTCGGGGAAGGGTATTGGTTATATATTTGAATAGTGGGATAATCAAGGTTTAGAGGATCCATGACCTACGAGAGATCAAAATGTACATGAATCTTAGTGAATTCTTCCAGTGAACAACAAGGTATCTGATTAGTGCATTTGAAAGATAATTTATATTTTTCAGTGGATAGAAAGTAATTTTAGAAAGCAGCTCTGAGAGTTTCAGCCCATCTGAGCAAGGTCTATTCCAGTGAAGAGCAAGATGTACAATGATGGCTTATTTTATATCACTTATATATATGGAGACTGGTTGAGAAATACCATAGGCAGGAAGGAAAACAAAGCTATTTGAAAAACAGCCAGCCTATAGGCCTACACAGAACATTTCTCCAAGTGGCTATTTCCGTGCAGGTCAGAGGGCAGCGCGGTAAAGTGGAAACAGCTGTTGGAATGTGCGCTCAGAAAGTCAAGTTCTGAGCTCAGAAAGCTGAACTCTCAAGAAGTTGATCTCTCTAAGCCTTGGTCTCTTTGGGGTAAAACAGGAGCTTGAACAAGATAACAATTCCTAACTTTCCCACCAGGAACGAACGTGGACCTTACCAGTTCACAGGAAGTTTTTTGCTGATGTCTCCTCTCAGGTCCCTCTCCTACCTCCGCCTCCAGTAGTCTGTGCAGGTGAGCCGCAAGGTAATGAAAGCCATGGAAAGAAACGGAATCACAAAACAGCTTTCCTCCAATTATAACTGAAAGACGGCACGTGTTTTCCATAAAAGTATCAGGAATTGACTATTCTATCTAATGAGGAAACAGTTCAGAGTCTCAAGCCATAAACTCTAAGGGTGCTGTCCATGGCGAGGTGTGTCATGGCTAAACGCTTCAACTCTCAATCTTGTCCAGTCTCACCTCGAGCCTCTAAAGAAGTGCAGAGAAAGAATGTGCGTGCACAGTACCTTGAGAGGTCTGAACACTCTGCAAATAGAAAGCAGCTGTCTGAGGTAGTGTGATCCCAGCAGCTGTGGGTAAGACTCCAGATTTAACCAAGGCAGGGCCTCGTGAGGCTTCCAGGGCCCAATGCTGGCCAGAGGGGGAACCGGAATCAAGAAAGAACCGCATGGATAGAGTGGGCAGTGATTTAGGTTTAAACTGGAGAAAACAGTGACCCATCAAGGATTCTTCACCGACATTAAAGGTGAGCGGAGGAAAAGCAATGCCCATTTCCAGACCTCTAGTTCAGAGAGAAGACGGAAGATTCCAGCTGAGGATAATCTGCCATGAAACAGGGTCACCCCACATCTGAGCAATCAATGACCTGCTCACACTAGGCCTGGCTTTACTCGGGGTAACATGGTCATCATTACAAGAAGAGACTACTTCCAAGGAGTTAGAATGAATGTAACAATGATTATAACAGCGTGGCATGCTACAAAGATAAGATCTCAAGGAACAGAAGACAAAGCCCAGAAGCGTCTCACACTCCAGAAGAACTTAATAAGAACAACAATCCAACACGAGTAAGTCTCAACAACATGATAAAACCACAGAATGGGAATTGTTAAGGTGTCAACCTCCTAGAGTTAGGTAGTTTA